CAAAGACCGCATCACACCCTATCCAACCATTTAATGCCCACGTATCCTGCCCTAGCAGTCCCTGCTGGGACGGTTACGTGAAGTAAGAAAGAGAAAAAAGTAAACGCATAAAGCAAAAGAGAGTGGGAAGAGCAAAGCAAGTGGAATACTAAGATATTTGAGTCATTAAAAAAGAACTGAAAAGTGAAGGTGAGTCTGTAGTGACCTGGAGATTCCCCTGTTTGGCTGCCGCATGCTGCGTAAAATATTACAAAATCACAAAATTATATTTTCTCGATGTACATAGCAAAATAGCCGCTCGCCTGTTTGAACGTTGCTCGCGTTTGTTTGAGTCAACATAGCATCCGCCTTCGAACGGCGCGACGCTCCTCGGCTCCGCTGCCATCTTTGCTCTCCGCGCACGCGACCACACCTTTCCCTAGCTAGCTATCTTTCGGTGCCTTATTTTTAGCACTAGATAGCCTTTCGCCCACTTAATAAATTTTTCCTAGCGTTACCTTTGGTGTTCTCCACTCACCGGAGGTTGGCCTTATTTTCGCGTATTGGTTTTAAAGCGTACCGATCCCGCTTCGCGCTTTATTGGTGACCCCGAATTTTGGTCATTATCCGGTGAGTTTTCGCTAACCTTTCTTTTCAGATTTGGCCACATTTTTTCGCTCACCCGTCTGATTTTCACTTTTCATTTTCCGGTTTAATCTTGCTGGCTCGCTATTTTGCTCGCTATGGCAACTGATCGTGTAGATTCTGACGTTCAGATAGGCACAGTTACGCTTCCTATCGCACCTTTTCGCGAGACTAATCCTAAGTCTTGGTTTGGTCAGCTAGAATCGCAATTTTCTTTGCGTGGTATTAGGTCCGAAAAGACCAAGTTCCACCTAGTCGTTTCCGCGCTTCCGCTAAATGTCATCGATGACATTGATGACATTCTAGATCTTCCTGACGACCAAAAGACTTACGATGCAGTCAAGACAGCTGTTCTGAGAAGAACAGGCTTATCCGATCGACAACGAGTTACGAAACTCCTCAACGAAACCGATCTTGGCGATCTTAAGCCATCTCAGCTGCTTCGAAAAATGCAGAGCCTAGCTAAACCCTCTTCGATAGATGATTCTTTTCTTCGGGAAATGTGGTTGCAACGACTTCCGCGCGAGATGCTACACATCCTCTGCGCTAGTGAGGATGCACCTTTGTCCAAACTGGCCGATACAGCCGACCGAATTTGGGAGTCGTACGGCCAGGTTTCGCAGGTCCAGACGAAACCGGACAACGATATCGCTACGCTTAAATCCCAGATGGCAACGTTGACTCGACAATTCGCAGACTTTTCGGCCTCCAGACATAACCGCTGTAAATGCTCTAGGAGCCGTTCGCGTTCACGTTCGAAGTCTCCTTCTCGATCACCGAATAGAAACGGTTACTGCTGGTACCACGAACGCTTCGGCCAGCAAGCTAAATCATGTCGCCCGCCCTGTTCCTTCAAACGACAGCAGCAGGGAAACGGGCGGACCAGCACGTAGGGGCGACGGACGTAGCTGGTCAACGCAGTCGCCTTTTCTTCGTCACCGATCGTAGAACCGGAGTTCGCTATCTCGTCGATACTGGCGCAGAAGTCAGCGTTCTCCCGCGTGATCCAAATGACCCGACCGAAAAGGTGACTAGCTCATTGCGCGCAGCTAACGGAACCATCATCCGCGTATATGGTCAACGCTCGCGCACGCTAAATCTCAGCCTCCGACGCGCTTTCAAATGGATATTCCTCGTTGCGGATGTTCAAACGCCTATCCTTGGTCTCGACTTCTTACGTCATTACGACCTACTCGTCGACGTTAAGCGACACCGTCTAGTCGACCGTCTTACGAACCTCGCAGTCATTGGGACTTTGACCGACACCGCGTCAATCAGTCCCGTGTACGCGACTCAACTTACTTCACCCGTCGGGCAAACGCTGCTCGATAGTTTTCCGCAGGTCTTCCGTCCTGCCGTCCCGTTGCCTTCCGCAACCGACGCCGCGACACATCATATCGTTACGAAAGGTCCGCCTGTGTTCGCAAAAGCCAGGCGCATGACCCCCGACAAGCTCAAAATTGCTCGCTCCGAATTCGAGCACATGCTAGACCTAGGCATTATTCGCCCGTCTAAGAGCCCGTGGGCGTCGCCTCTACACATGGTGCCTAAAAAGTCAGGAGACTGGCGTCCATGTGGCGACTATCGCGCTCTTAATAACGCTACCGTCCCCGACCGCTATCCCATTCCGCACATTCAGGACATCACGGCTAGCCTACGTGGCGCCCGTGTGTTCTCGAAGATCGATCTGGTTCGCGCTTACCACCAGATCCCTGTAGCCGAGGATGACATTGCGAAAACCGCAGTCATCACGCCTTTCGGACTTTTCGAATTCTTGCGAATGCCCTTCGGTCTTCGTAACGCAGCTCAAACTTTTCAACGCTTCATAGACTCTGTCACCAGAGGTCTCGACTTTGTTTATCCTTACATAGACGACATCTTAGTAGCTAGTTCTTCCGAAGAACAGCACGCGAAGCACCTCAAGATGCTCTTCGAGAGGTTAGCTTCTAATAGCATTACGGTCAACGCTGACAAATGCATCTTTCAGCAACCATCCATCGATTTTCTTGGTCATCGAATTGACCAGCATGGCATACGGCCGCTCGAAGACCGAGTCAGTGCTATTAAGGACTTTCCCCTTCCGACTACTTTGGCCGCCATCCGCCGTTTTAGTGGAATGATCAATTACTACCGTCGATTTCTGCCACGTTGTGCCGACTTGCTCAGTCCATTGACCGACTTACTTCGTGGTCGCAAGAACGGCAATGTCGAATTGACGCCCGCTGCAACCGAAGCCTTCAGGGCCTGCAAAGAGGCCTTGGCCGAAGCCGTTATGCTTCACCATTTCGACCCGAAGGCTCCACTCAGCGTTGCAGTCGATGCATCGGACACCGCCATTGGCGCTGTCCTGCAGCAATTCACTGAGGGATGCTGGAAGCCACTCGCTTTCTACTCCCGACGCTTACAACCGGCAGAAGCCAAGTACAGCACGTTCAGCCGCGAACTGCTGGCAGTTTATTCTACCGTTCGACATTTTAGGCACGTCTTAGAAGGTAATTCGTTCGTTATCTTCACCGACCATAAGCCGCTTATTTACGCCTTTCGAAATCAATCAGCTCGACACTCACCACGTGAGGTTCGTCAGCTGGATTTCGTGGCTCAATTTTCTACTGACCTCCGACACATTTCTGGTCAGAATAACGTCGTTGCTGACGCCCTTTCGCGCGTCTCCGCAATCCACACCGCTGGCCAGGCAATCGACTTATCTGCCATGGCTACCGCGCAACTAACCGACACCGACTGTCAGAACGTCAAACAAGATTCTTCGCTACGAATCACACCGCATCCACTGCCGTCATCTGATGGCACAATCTTGTGCGATACTTCTACTGGACGACCTCGACCCGTCGTTCCAGAAACCTTTCGACGTCTAGTTTTTGACACACTTCATAACATCGCTCATCCAGGCATCCGAGCCACGATCAAGCTCATATCCGAGAGATACGTTTGGCCCGGAATGCAATGCGATCTTAAGCGCTGGGCACGCGGATGTCTAACGTGTCAACAGGCCAAGATACAGCGGCACGTGTCCGCCCCGCTTGGTCGTTTTCCGCAAGTCTCAGCTCGCTTCGCCCATGTCCATCTCGACATAGTTGGACCCTTGGCACCATCCAGAGGAATGGTCTACATTTTGACCATGATCGACCGATACACCCGTTGGCCCGAGGCAGTACCTATACCCGACGTATCCGCGGACACCGTAACGCGCGCTTTCGTTGAGCGCTGGGTCGCTTCACATGGCTGTCCAGCCACAGTGACTACCGACCGCGGTCCGCAGTTCGAATCCTCGACTTTCAACGATCTTCTCAAAGTCCTCGGATGTCAACGCATCCGGACTACCGCCTATCACCCGCAATCCAACGGCATGGTGGAACGTTTCCACCGACAGCTGAAGGCCTCACTTAGTGCCGCTAATGCACTAAGCTGGACCGAAGCACTGCCCATGATACTACTTGGTATCCGATCAGCTCTTAAAGCTGATTTGCACACGTCCAGCGCCGAATTGGTATACGGACAACCTCTTCGACTACCTGGGGACTTCTTTTCTGAAAACCCTAGAACACCTCGCTACGACGCGAATTACGCTCGGCAGTTAGCCACGAGCATGCGCCATATTAAAGCAACCGACGTGCGAGAACAACGACGTAAATCGTTCGTTCCACAAGATCTACTGCATTGCACTTACGTTTTCCTTCGAGTCGATGGTCTACGCAGACCACTCGAACGACCCTACGAAGGTCCATTTAAGGTTCTTAAACGTAAGGACCGCGTATTCGTTATCGACCGCCACGGTAAACATGAAACCGTCTCTATCGACCGTCTCAAGGTTGCCCATGTGGAACCTGAGATCGACGATGACTCCTGTCCACCTTCGGACGAGTCAACGCAGCCCATGATCGACGATACGCCTACTTCCGATGCTGCGAAGCATTCTCCGACCAACTCTTCCGACTCAGTTCCTTACGTTTCTATCGAGCCGAAAGCGTCCTCATCCGACAAAACTGCTGGATCGACAACGCCTCCGACCGAACGTCCGAAATCGACTAGGTCAGGTAGGCGGGTTCATTGGCCAGCGCGACTAAAAGATTAGTCTTCTTTTCATTCTTCTTTTCCCGCTTCCTTTTTGCTTGTGGCCTAACCCGCCCAACAAAAACGATTTGAAAACCCAAAAAAATTTGCAAAGCGTTTTGAAAACCCCAAAAACCGCAAAGACGTTTTGAAAACCCAAAAAAGGAGAAAATCGTTTTGAAAACACAAAATGGTTCTCGCTTTATTTGCTTATCGCACTCGGTAAGTGCTATCGTTTTTCGTTAGCTCTGTCGCTCGCACCTGTTTGACACTCCGCGTCTCCGCTTCTTTTTCATATCCTCGACACGCGGACGTTCAACGACGATCGAACGTTACGTTTGCGGACACTACGTGCTCAAACATCGTGTGCTTTGACACTACGCACTCGAACGCTGCGAACATTTCCCCCATTTTGTGTTTTTGGCACCTGTAGGGAGGACACGGGTGGGAGCCCCCCTAGCGTCCGATCGCATTGGTTCTCCCCCAGCAGCTGCATCAGGTTTCACCGCCTGGTCTCGCAGAAGGCTGGCCGGCGACGGACAGTCCTCACGTAGATCGAAGGGTCACCTACGGTTCCCTTCTAAGAGGGGGGCTGTGTAGTGACCTGGAGATTCCCCTGTTTGGCTGCCGCATGCTGCGTAAAATATTACAAAATCACAAAATTATATTTTCTCGATGTACATAGCAAAATAGCCGCTCGCCTGTTTGAACGTTGCTCGCGTTTGTTTGAGTCAACATAGCATCCGCCTTCGAACGGCGCGACGCTCCTCGGCTCCGCTGCCATCTTTGCTCTCCGCGCACGCGACCACACCTTTCCCTAGCTAGCTATCTTTCGGTGCCTTATTTTTAGCACTAGATAGCCTTTCGCCCACTTAATAAATTTTTCCTAGCGTTACCTTTGGTGTTCTCCACTCACCGGAGGTTGGCCTTATATCCGCGTATTTGTTCTAAAGCGTACCGATCCCGCTTCGCGCTTTAAGTCAGCTAGGAAAAAGGAAAAGTTTGCTGTTGCAATCCAAGAGCATCGAGCTGGCGCGCAAAACCCTTACTCGTAGGTTCCCTAACCACGTGATCTGGAAGCGAATTCCAGCGATCCATAACTCGACGCGACAGACGAGTTTCCACCCGAATACCACCAGACCGCGATTTACGCAGTTTCAGTGGGTGACCGCGGAGATTAAGTAACGTAGCGGGACTAAATAGTCCTGGCAAATCCGGGCCAATCTTACCCGTCCAAATACGATAAGTGATAATCAGGTCCCCTGTTAACCTTCGGTAGCGCATAGAGTACATCCCCAAACTGAGCAAGCGTTCAGGATACGTCTGTCCCCTTAGACTCTGCACTAGCCGAGTGCTTACTTGCAACAGCCTCTCCAAGTCCATTTTGTCTCGGTTAAGACATGGTGGACAAGCCTGAATACAATATTCCAGGTGGGGTCG